TTGCTGGGCTGTTCTGAGAATTAGAAATCGCGTCACCATTCCCGTCCACAGGGGATCACTTTGCAGCGTGCTCATTTGGTATGGTTGCCAAACGCTAAGTCCTTTGTGATGGGCTTTGTGATGGGCTTTCATCACTGGGCGAGCAAATTAGCTATACTTTCCTGTCACACATTAAACCAGATTCTGTTTCCTGTGATGTCTGTCCATCAGCTCAGGCACTGCCTTTTGTGATCCCACAGAGCAAATCTAAACTTGTTCCAACAAGTAATTATAAAATACTTGAACAGTTTCAGTGCCTCCCTGGTCTTCTCCATGGTGAGCCCTTTTAGATCTGTAAATTCTTTCAAAGACCTTGTTTGAGGATACTTCTGGAACCCTTTCCTTCCCATGTGAGCATCCATGGGTAGGCGTTTGCCAGCCGTGAGAAGATACAGGGATAGCATCTTGGGGCAGTACATCCTGAATATATTCGTGTGAACATGGGAGTGTGTGCATCTCACAAGCACGGTTCATAGCGTCCCTTGCCTTTCACCACTGGGTTGAGGGACAGGAACACCACTACTTCTACAGAGAAAAGCATGGTGTAAAACTATGTTGTCAAATGTTGTATTGAAAAGTTACTCCCTGTAGCTCTCATGGGTTCTGTTGCATTGTTGCCCTCATTTTTTTTTCTCTGTATGTCTAACGCCTCCCATGTACCTTGAAGTTCCTGCCCTTCAACTTTAGACGCAGAAGCGTGACCTGCTTTAACTGACAGAATGAGACACCAGTGACAGCAAGTCATGTCCAAGCATAGGTTTAAGAGGCTATTGGAAATTTCTATGTAGCTCTCAATATCCCGGCATCATGAGAAAATGAAACTTACACTGGCTTACTGGTCCAAGGAAGCTGGGAGACTTGTTGAGTTGGGCCCCCAGCAAAGGTATCTGTATCAGGCAGCACATAGCCAAAGCACAAACACTTGAACAAAAGCAAATGTTTTTAAGATAATTTGTTATCTAGCATTTTTCTGCCAAGGGGCAATTATACAGAATTTATGTGGGCCATAAAACCTACAAACAGAAAGGACTTCTATCTATCAGAATATAAGTTTAAAAGACTGTATGGGTAAGATTACAAAACCATAAATAAATATTTCATAAAATAAATGACTGTTTCATAAAAATTCCTAACTTTAAAGTTAGAAAGAGACTGGCTAAGAAGAAAATAAGTGTGCATATTACAGCAAGTGAGTGAGGTGGCTGTGGCCAAAAAGACACACGGAGAGTCGGGATTTCTGTCCGACACAATTCCTAACTTTATTCAGCCCATGTTCATCCACCATGTGTCAGCACTAGTCTGCACTCGGAAAAATAGACTGTGGAGGGAAATGCACAAGGCTCAGGTCCCAGAAAGCTTGTATTCTATTGACTCTTTAAGAAGCTAAACATTTTTAAAGACCAATGGGACATTTGTGCAACCAAGATATTCAAGCAGATTACTGGTTACATTGGCTAGTCAGAGGAAGACCTCTCACGGGATGAGGCCATGTGGAGGATCTGATGGAAGAAAGATAACACTGAGGGCCATAGCAAGTGCAAAGGCCATGATCTAGCAACGGCCTCAGAGTGTGTGAAGTGGAAACAGAGATGTAGAGAAGGGAAAAGGATTTCAAAATGAAGACCATATCAAAAGAAGCCAGGGCCTGTGGAGCTCAGCCAGCCACAATCAAGGCGATGCAACTCTTTGGAATGTGCAAGGAATGTGACCTGGTTTTCCAGGCTTCAGGAGCTAGGTGGAGAAGAGATTGTGGGTAGATAAGAGTGGAAAGAGAAAAAAAAAAAAAAAAAGGGTGGAAAGAGGCGGGCCCATTGGCTTGTTGCATCATGATGGTTACTCTGGAGAGATATCAAAGCTAGAGAGAGTTGGGCAGGTCACCAATGTATTTTGGAAATATAACCAAGACTCACTGATGGATCAGGTGCAGAGAAAGTGAAGGGCTGCGTGTGAGTTGTGGGTTTTTGGCTGAGGGAATCCAGGGGGTGGTTGGTGGTGCATTTCAGGCGATGAGGATGAGTAGATGAGAAATGAACCAGAGAAGTCAAGAGTTCTGTCCGCATGAGTTCATTTGGATTTAATGAGGCTAAACTGCTGGATGTACTAAGTTTGTGGTCAATGCCGGAAATAGAAGTTGGCAGATATCAGCAGAGAGATGGTGTTTTAGTCAGAACCTGGATTGATTCATCTAGGGAATGCGTTTGCTTTTTTAATTTAAAATTTAAGAACTTTGAAGTTTTACAAAACGTTAGCAGAAAGAAGTGGGAGGACTAAACTGTGGCACAAGCTGACATTTAAGAGCTTAGCAGAGGGAGAGGAGACAGAAGAGGAGCCTGAGAGAGACGTGACAGAGTGCGGAGCGATGGAGCCAAGAGAAGAAAGCCTTCCAGGGGACTTGTCAGCTTGGCTTTGGTTGGAGTGAAGATTGACTGAATCATGAAGCGAGATGAGGACAGAGGCGTGATCGGAAGTGTGGAACTGATCGATGAGGCTGAAAATTAGATACTTAGGCTAGTCATGGTGGTTTGTGCTTAGGATCCCAGCAGTTGGGAGACTGAGGCATGAGCATCTCTAGTTCAAGACCAACCTAGGCTATGTAAGAGACAACTGTAGAAACAACTATCCAACAAACAGAATAGCGGGACAGAAATTGAAACGGAATGGTTGAAAAGCGGCTGGGGGGTAGAAGGGGGTGACCCTAAGAGCTGGAGGAAGAGGAAAACAGAAATGCAGAGGTCCAGGATCAGTTAGTTGACTTTTGGTTTTAAAAGGAGAGGCAGGAGCCTAATTAATTGTCAGTGGGCATAAACCAACAAGGAAAATGTTGGTATTGTAGTCTCACCAGGGTAGACAAGCTGAGAGCAGTTCTTGGAACGAGGAGACAGGAACAGAGAAAAGGTGTGGGCTTCTACAGAACCTTCCACAGTAGAGGGGACAGTCAGAGAGGGCTGGAGAGAGCAAATAAACACTTAGGTTTTCTCAATGACACGTGACTTTAGGTCAGCATTTGAGGATTCGGGACTTTTGAGACTATGTCCTTCATTTACAACTCACTAAACTTAAAAAAGAGTGAAAGTGATCACTCCTTCTACCATATATCTTAGACGTCATTATAGATGGCCGATAGTTCAGACAGACAGATAGATGTTAGAAAGATAGATAGGCAGACAGACAGACAGACAGATAGATGTTAGAAAGATAGATAGATAAATAGATAGATAGATAGATAGATAGATAGATAGATAGATAGATAGATGGATGATAATACATACTTACATAGATGATACATACATATATACATACATAGATGATAGATGATAGATAGATAGATAGATAGATAGATAGATAGNATAGATAGATAGATAGATAGATAGATAGATAGATAGATAGATAGATAGATGATAATACATACTTACATAGATGATACATACATATATACATACATAGATGATAGATGATAGATAGATAGATAGATAGATAGATAGATAGATAGATAGATAATACATAGATGATAGATACATACATACATGGAGGATAGATAGATAGATAGATAGATAGATAGACAGACAGATAGACAGACAGACAGGATTATTTATGGAGATGAGAATGTAATTGAGAGATGTTACATCAGAACTGCCAAACTTCCAGCAGCCATTCCCATCCTTAGGTCCAATGAGTCAGGAGATAACAAGTCTGAGACCCTAGTGAGTGCTGTAACCATGAGGAAGGACCAACCTCTGTGACGGTTCATCCAGGAGGTAGAAAATGGGTCAAAGCAGAGAGGGATGAAAAGGAAACATGCCTTCTTTCTCCTCTCATCTCTTACTGATTGCTTCAAAAGACTAAATCCAACTAGCATCCAGCTGGCAAGTGGTCCTGACTAATGTGAGAAGCAGGTCCTTTTTTTGGACCACCAGCTCTCTGATAATGGCATGGAGACTTTTTATTCATTGAAAGCTTGGTTTGTTCCCAACTAGCTCTTAAAACTTAAATTAACCCATTTATATTCATCTTCATCTACCACGTGGCTCGTTACCTCTCCTCAGTACCATATGTTCAACTTCCTCTGTGTCTGCCTGGTGACTCTCTCATGCCACCAATTCTTTCCCAGAGTTCCCATCTCACCCCAGAAGTCCCACCTATGCTCTCCTGCCTAACTATTGGCCATTCAGCTCCTTATTGAACCAATCAAAGGGTGCCTTAGTCAGGTGAGTCAAGACAGAGACATATCTTCACACAGCATATAAAAAGAGTTTCCCAACAAATGGATTCATGGTAAAGATCAGAGAGTAGATACGGCGGAGGCAAGCAGCACAGCCCTTGACATTTGATACCATAGAAACCAAAGCAGTGCTAGAAACCATTCCGGGGCATCTTTACTCCTGATGCTACTATGCAGAACACAGATTGGGACTCCTACTCATTGGGATTTAAAAAATGCAAATGGTGCCTTTTGCGAATCATTGCAAAATCCACCCTCAAAATCCACCGCCACTCTTCACGTGCAATGTTTACGCCAACCATCCCTCTTTGATTTCACCACAAGCCTTAGAATTGGGGCAGCTTGTACTTCAGGCTCCTGGCTGGTCTGAGCTCCTTCCAAGGCCAGGAGAGAACCATAGAAACATTTCCAACTAGCCATGTGCCTTTGTACAACTTCTTAAAGATATTTGTTTTAACTGTTTATTATTAAGCCTATGACCCTAGAGAAGCCCCTCTCAACCCCACATTCTATAAACTTTGAGTTCCATAAAACATACAATGTAAGTGTAGATTCTACCACCTTTAGGCAGCTTGATTAATGAACACTTGGTGATGGGGAGGGTTACGGAGGATGGCAAAGCCAGGGGGGAGGACACGAAGTACCAGGCAGCCCGAGGCTGTGCCCTGGAGTGTTGAAGGATGCTGGGGGACCCCCCCCATTTCTCGCTGAGGGTCTCACATGCTGCTCTTTGCATTTTCAGATGCAGATGGAAACCTGTGTCGAAGTAACCAGCTGTTACAAGTCGTGCTGACCATGCACCGCATCATCATGTCCTCGGCTGAGCTGCTGCAGAAGCTCATGAGCCTATATCCTTGGGCATCAGCTTAGGCTGCAGCTTCAAGGGTGCTTTTACTTTGATTGGTTTGGGATAAACCTGAGCAGTAAATGGTCTGTCCCTTTAAGGATATAGTTGTGTGTGTGCACACTGCTGTATGTGCACTTGTGTGCGTATGTATACCTGTGTGTATGTGAACTTGTATGTGTGCACCTGTGTGTGTAGCTTCTTTTAGGTAGGACAGTATTATTTATGCTGATTTCTCTGAGTGGTAGATGGTCAAAGAAATCATCCTACAAATGCAGACAACATTAATATTTCTTGCTATTAAAAATTTTTTTCCTTAAACACTAGTCACAAATCCTATTCATGCTACACAGACTGACCGGCACAGTTGTGAGCTTTGATGGACTTTGTATGAGTCCTTCATCCTCCTAGGCTCTGAAAGAAAGGCTACATGATCTGCACTGCCGTTTTACTCTAGGCCGTGGCACTCACTGACTATGAGCCGGTTAGACCTTGCTAGACGTGCGCCCCCTGTGGCAGGATGTGGAAAGCGCCCACTTTTTCCTTCAGAGCACTGGCGATACAGTTGAGTTGTCGTCCCCAAGAGAAAAAGTGCTATAGGACCAGCCAGCACCTGAGGCCTAGGTCTCTGCGGATGAGTCAGGACATGTGACTGTGCAAATCCTTTTCCAGAAAACAAAACAAAACAAACAAAAAATCACTACAACCTAGGAAAGAAAAGGGGGAGACGAAGCAGCCAGGACAGACTCACTTCTCTAAACCTCCATCATGAAGCTCTACCTTCCATCTCAGAGACCAAGTTCCGGAGGCAATGACAAGGGTAGAGCTAGGGAGAAGGCCACCTAAGAGACATACCTATAGTAAGTAGGTGCCTCCTCTACAGAGACTTTCAAAGCAATTCACCTTGCTCTACCTGACTCCGTGCACCAGTAACTGTGAACAAGGCCAGTAATTAAACACTCCTTCTTAAAGCTGTGCTGGTCTCAGAACCAAAAGTACTTGAGTGGCCTCCTTTGGGGCAGCACTGGGTGCTGTTCCTGCAGCAACCCCTCCACTGCCTGCCCTGCAGCATCCCCCCACGCACCAGCCTCTCTCCGCTGTGCCCGCACCCAGCCCTTCAGCGGCACCTGCCCCCCAGCCGCGGCACATTCAAATGCCCTGCATCTAAAAATAACCTCAACCCTGTTTCCCCTTTCTTCGGCTGTTGGGATTAGAAATTGGATGTGAAACCTTCTGAAACGCTCTGCCTTCCCAGCCTGCAACCCCTCCACCTACTCTGCTCCCTCCGCGGCACAACTGCAGCGCCCACGGAAGCACGCAGACTCTCCTCTGCTGTCGCCGGGGCCTCTCAGCTGCCAAGCCCAGGGGCTTCACTCCGTCCTTGCTCATACCTCCCAGAAGCACTGGACAGTCCAGGCCTCTGAGACCTTTCCCCCAGGACTCCTGAACTGTACCTTTCCATGACCTTCCCAGGTCCTCGTGGAACCTCTCCCAGAAGCACGCTTGCGCACACGGTCCATCTGCTGTCTTCTCACTCAGCAACCTTTTGTGGGAGGTTTCACGCGATGATTTCCCCCACCACTCTATGAGCCCAGGATGGCTTTTAAGTTTACAGTTCTCTATCATAAACTGTTTTGCTGAAGGTCTGGGCCAACATGTCCTGCTAACATTTTTAAGGCTTTCAAATTATTTGTTAGCTTGCCTCCAGTGTTTGTGTGTCTCTTTCCTTAACCCCACGTAACATTCCAGTTTCTCCTCAACCCTGCACTGACTCTTGTATTTTCAGTCGCAGGCAACAGTACCATTGCCTAAAACAGGAGCAGCAGCCTTGAGCAGTCTGCCTTTGCCAGGGCACCCAGCCGAGAGCTGGGGGTACTTCCTCCTTCTGAAGGATGCTGAGAGCCTGCAGTCCAGTGCTGCTGAGGTCTGCACAGAATGCAGCTCCTGTGCACCGAACATCAGGAGCTAGGGAGCAGGCTACACTGGAAAACAATCCAGCTCCCTTGACTTGATGTTTTCCCTTAGCTCGTTCAAAAGAGAGGGTATCTGTCTGTCTGTCTATCTGTGTGACTATCCGTGTCCCCTTCCCTTTTACTAAGGAAGAATAAAAATTTCAACAAGTTGAAAAAAAGCTGATAAAAATATAGACCCCCAAAAGCATTTATCAGGAATGTGCCCTGTGCTATTTATGCGGATGCTACACATTTTCTTATTGCAACAAAGAAACGTGTGGTCATTCTATGTTCTTGGCTTCTGAGCCTTTCCCCTCATCCATCTGCCACTGGAAGCCTGGACATACTTTGATTCTTATTGTGTTGTTGATGTGTGAGGTTTTGTGTGGAAGAGGGTTATGATGTGTGTGTGTGTATGTGTGCGTGTGTGCTTTAGTTTCAAGAACAGATTTAATAAGAAATATGAATAAATATATTGATATTTAATTTTTCAAATTAATCTTATATTTATTAAAATGACAAATTTTAGCATAATTCTTTGTATTTTCAAGTTTACTTTGCTCATCTTTAAGATGCACAGTGTCGGGTTTTTGTTTTCTTGAGTCGGGATTTATCACTCTAATGGACTAACATTACCATAGATGTTCTAAAGCTGAGCATAAAATCAGGGAGCTTTCATCTTAAAATATGTCTTCTGCACTTAACCAAATGTTCCACACTTAAGTTTCAAGTCTATGGGTCCAAGATGCTCAAGATCATTCAGAATGCCACAGGCTTTCCTAGGAAACAGAGCACGGGGGTCCTGATGAGCCCTGCCTTCTCTGTATTTAACTGACTTTTCCAAGGGGAATACATTCACACCTGCTGAGGGAAGACCATTTCCACCCCAGTTATGGGATTTGGGTTGGTTGTCACTAGACCCATCTCCCTGGCCCAGCTGGAAATCACCGACTCCTAGATTGCAGTTACCATGTCTCAATTGTTCAAAGAGAAAGAGGCCGTGACCTTGAGGGACAGCCAGCCAGCTCTTCAATCTGTCAACAGAAGAAAGATGGTAGGACCCACCCATATTTACCATGGGACTAGGGTTCTCATCAGATATTTATTTATTTATTTATTTATTTATTATGTATACAATATTCTTTTTGCATGTATGCCTGAAGGCCAGAAGAGGGCACCAGACCCCATTACAGATGGTTGTGAGCCACCATGTGGTTGCTGGGAATTGAACTCAGGACCTTTGGAAGAGCAGGCAATGCTCTTAACCGTCTCATCAGATTCTTAAATATGCAAACACACTTTTCTTATATCTCAAAAGACAGGTAAACACAAGGATTTTTTTGTTGTTGTTCCTTCAAAATAGTCAGAATTATAAAGACTGTTAAAGCGCTCTTTGGTTATATTTTTGGATTATTCCATGACTCTGTCTGCTTTGCCATGGCAATGCACAAGGTTGGTCAAATAATGCCTGATATATGTGCGTGTGTGTGTGTGCATGTGTGTATATATGTGTATATGTACGTAAGTATGTATACATATGTATGTATATGTGTATATAGGAGAAAATGTTCATGTTATTGTTCTTAATTATCAACACATTTGAATAAATATGGATATATATTTTCTTAAATCACTGCCCACGTAGTTACTGCATAAATCAATTACTAGAAAATTTTTAAAAGATTCAGGAGATCTCTAACTTATTCATTCAGCTGGACTCCTAGTTCCTAGTCTCTTGAGCACAAGCAAGAAGAAATTTGCCCATATTTCTGAGTTTGATTTGGTAAATACTTCCAAAGACTGAAGTTTTATGGTTTCTGTAATATGTCTTCATTTCCCTTAACCACGGCCCTACATATAAGGATGCCTTGGAGAAGCAATCTCCAGGAATTTGTCTGAAGATCTGCTATTTTGTCAGGTAATGTTTGCATGATTTGAAGACTATGTGGAGTGCAGTGAGATGAAAAGATGCTCTCTGGACTTCTGCTCTTTCTGGTCCTCCTAGTCTGCATCTCCCAGCCTCTGTCTGATGTGGGGTTGGTGAAGATCTTTGCCCATTCTGTAGGCTGTCGTTTTGTCTTGTTGACTGTGTCCTTTGCTTTTCAGTTTCAGGAGGTCCCATTTATTAATTGTTTTTCTCAGTGTCGGTCAGCCATTAAAGACTAGGTTCACAACCAAAAATTTAAGTGTTTTTAGTTGTTTTTACTAATTTGTAAGTTAACATGAAATTCATGGGTTGCATTATTGATGGAGGAAGGTCATTGGCTAATAAAGAAACTGCCTTGGCCCATTTTATTGGTTAGAACATAGGTGGGTGGAGTAAACAGAACAGAATGCTGGGAGGAAGAGGAAGTGAGCTCAGAGACGCCATGCTCCCCTCTCCCGGGCAGACGCAATAGCTCTGCTCTCTGAAGCAGACGCACGTGATGAAGCAAGCTGCCAGGTCAGACATGCTGAATCTTTCCCGGTAAGACCGATGCTACACAGTTTATTAGAGATGGGTTGATCAGGATATCAGAATTAGCCAGTAAGGGCTAGAGCTAATGGGCCAAGCAGTGTTTAAAAGAATACAGTGTCCATGTAATTATTTTGGGGCATAAGCTAGCAGGCGGCCGGGGTGCTGGGGACGCAGCCCCGCTGCTCCTATCACTACACATTATGGCATTTTTAAACATAAATGTCATTATACTTTGTTTTTTTTTTCCATCCCTTTCTGCTTATGTTCCCCCGTCTCACCATGCCCTTGCTTTAGCATGCCTTTAATCCCAGGACTGGAGAAGCAGAGGCAGACAGATCTCTGAGTACTATGCCAGCCTGGTCTACAGACTGAGCTCCAGAACAGCCAGATCTATATAGAGAAACCCTGTCTCAAAAAACAAAACAACAACAAAAACATAAAATCAGTGTGTGTGTGTGTGTGTGTGTGTGTGTGTGTGTGTGTGTAGAATGCTTTTATAATGTGTATCTTTTGCTTAGCTTTCTGTTGTAAAAAAAATCTAAGTTTTTGGTAAGCATTATTTTTTATAGTTATAGCAACATGTAATAAAACAAACTTTGCACACCCCAATTTTGAATATTTGCTTGTTTACATGGCCATGTCTAGATCCTGTCTGGATTCTCTGATATGACAGGTCTTGTCCTGTCAAAGCATTTGTGTGTGGAGACACCAAAGCCTGCTAGACGGTTTTCTTCCCTCCCAGGCACCCCCTACCCCCAGACTTTTTTTTTTTTTTTTTTTTTTACCACAGACAAATGACCCTCTGTCTTCTTCTGAGAACTTTTTGTAGCTTCAGATTCCTTTGGGAATCTGCCTAACTGCGAAGCCCTAGGTTCAGTGTTTTTCCTAACTCCCTCTTTGTAGGTATTGGATAACAGAATTCTGGATCATGTTCAAAATGGACGCCAGCTTGACCAGCACCATGGAAGAGTTTCAGGACCTGGTGAAAGCCAACGGTGAGGAGTCACACTGCCGCCTCATCGACACGACACAAATGTGAGTGTTAAGGTCCTACTGGGTCCCTCGAAACCACTTCCCTCCAGTAACCTGAGCTGTATTGCTGGGCCTCTAATTCTCTCCACCTCTAAAAAGGTTCAGAGAGCCCCACCAAAGATAACTTGACAATTTGACATTTTGTTTTGTTTTGTTTTTTGTTGTATTTTTTTTCTTCTACACAGGTATCCCTGTGTAGCCCTGACTGTCCTTGGAATTCACTCTATAGACCAGGCTGGCCTTGAACTCACAGAGATCTGTCTGCCTTTGCCTCCTGAGTGCTGGGCTTAAAGATGTGCACCACCGCCAGATAACTTGACATTCACTAGGAAAGCGGAGAGGTCCCCAGTGAAGAAGCTGCAGGGGATGGGAGCTAAGAGCAGAAGGTAGTCAGTCCGTGAGAAACCAAAAGTTCAGTGTCTGGACCAAGGCCTCATTTGTAGTTGGTGCAACAGGCACCCCTGCACTGACATGGCCCAGGCACTAGAGCCAAATGTCCCAAGCAGAGAGTGAGAACACGTAGTAGATGTCTGTGTAAGACCATTAGGTTTTCAGAGCCGAGAAGGAACTCGGGGATGTTTACATTGTTCTTCGAGTTCCTTATTCACACAGCTGGCTCACTCAGGAAAACGAGGCCTTTCTTCTTAATTTGGGGAAGAAGGTCACACATATTACATGCTGGGGTTTTTATGTGTGGTTAATTGTTTTACAATAATACAATTCCCAAAATACAGAGTTCTAGAATTGCAGCATATTGGAGAGATTAATTCACACAAAATCCTGTTTTTGCCTGGGGTCTGTGACTGACTGGGGGCTGTGACTGGCGTGGAGTCTGTGACTGACTGGCCTGGGGTCTGTGACTGACTGGTCTTGGGGCTGTGACTGGCCTGGGGGCTGTGACTGACTGGTCTGGGGGCTGTGACTGATTTGGAGTCTGTGACTGACTGGTCTTGGGATTTACTGGTCTGGGGGCTGTGACTGATTTGGGGTCTGTGACTGACTGGTCTGGGGGCTGTAACTGGTCTGGGGGCTGTGACTGACTGGCCTGGGGGCTGTAACTCGTCTGGGGGCTGTGACTGACTGGTCTGGGGGCTGTGACTGGCCTGGGGGCTGTGACTGGTCTCTACGCCTCATCTTGTTGTTGCTGCCATCTGTTTGTCGCAGTTGAGCTGTGCACTAGCAGCGGAGCTGTAACTGCTCTCCGAGTCACGCTTGTAACACCCGTGCACAAAGAAATGATTTCAAAGTCGTACCCCGCAATCCCAGATCAATCTGCCCATCCACTTGGGTCCTCTCTTACTTCTCTGCTTGGAATTGCACAACTTGATAGATAAAAGAGTTGCTTTTTTTTTTTTTCAAAGTAACAACCTTTCCATTTTAAAGATGAAAAAAAAAAAAAAAAGCCTAGAATCCAGGCTACTTGGTTTCTAGCCGGATTTTCTCTCCCAGAGTTTTTCACCGTGCGTTCTTTAGAAAATGTCGGTTGAGGATCCGGCCTGACTTGATGTATTTAGGTTACGTTTTCCTTTGCCATACATTTGAGAGTCTTGAATACAATGTGGGAGAGATCTACAGAACTGCAGCCTTGCCCAAACTTAAAATCAGGCATCACACATGTCCAGAGCCAAAGCTCTCAGAAATGCCCTTTAGAAACAAATTTATGCCCGCTGCCTTCCAACACTGCTTTCCTCTGCTTAGCACGAAACAGAGACTAAGAGAGAGTCTGGGGAGAGCTGTGAGGACTTCAAGGCATCACTAGGTCGTTCTAGGGCCAGCTAGTTTATATGGCCACTTTTGTAACTGGGGACATTGGAGGAAAATAACTTGTTTCTGCCCAGGGTGACCTCAGGTTCCTACCAATGATCCTTGCAGCAGAGTGTCTTCTCTCTGTTTCTCTCTGAGTTCTGCTGGTGTGAATACTACCTCCTCTTATGAATGCCGCCAACAGTCCTGCAACCCTCACGGCAATGAAGGAACGCATCAGAGGAGCAGCTATATTAAGACCAGAGGAAGAGCCGGGACCAAAGCCTAAAAGCGTCCCTTCCCACTGCCCTGCTGTCCCTCCTGCTGAATCCAGGGGGCTCTCTTCCCTCTTCTTTGAGCTGCTATCCCAGGGGAACAACTGACGGGGGGATGGGAAGTTTCTGGATCCCAGTTGCCTTCCACAGCATCCTTGTTGGATGGACCTCTGGTGTCTGCTTGTGTCCTTTGGGAATGAGAGGGTCATTCTGCAGGTAGCATCCATCTTTATACTCTGGGCTACTAGGAAGCATTTCCTGGGCTGGAGAGATGGCCCAGTGGGTAAGAACACTTCCTGCTCCTCCAAAGGGCCTGAGTTGGGTTCCCAGAATTCATAACTACCTGTAGCTCCAGTTTCGGGAGATTCAACACTTCTGAC